ATAACAGTTGTATGAGCTCCTAATAAAATTAAAATATATATATATATATATATATATATAATTCAATCTGTATCAGGCCCCTGGCAGGGTTCACTATGACTCTTCCAAGTCTCCCACCCCAAGGCTTCAAGCCACATTTCCCCTGTTCTAGTTACAATGACAAATACAAGTTTTAAAATTTTGGTCTGTTCGTGTTTTGCCAGCTATGGTAGGGCAGGTTCAAAGCCCTGCATTAAAAGGCAAGTAGGAGTTGCCTGTAATAGGAAATTGACAACGAAGGGACTGCCTGTAGAACTTAATGTATAAATCCTAAAAGTTCAAAGCACACAGGTTTCCTTTATAGTCAATACTTTTAAAATCATCTACTAGAGTACATAGGTTCCCAAACTTACTTGGCCTACCACCTCCACCTGCTTTTCAGAAAGAATTTCACCGAGTCTGTCAATGAAACACTTGTACTACATACAGCCTGGAATCCCGGGAGTGTAGGTAGATGCTTTTGCAGCCCACCCTAAGCACGCCAGTGCGCCACCAAGGGGTGGTCCAAGGGGTGGTATCGCCCATTTGGGGAAACACTGTACTAGTAATTTCAAATAGCACATACCTTATGGACCCATTCATACTCTCCATATTTAGAATCGAACGTTCCTTTCTGAAGAGATCGTAATTTTAAGGTAAAACGTGGTCCAAGCTCCTGAATTCCCACTTTCTTTTCACTTTTGAATATGTACCTTCAAAGTTAAAATACAGGAGTTGAAGAAAAGAGGGTGATGAACCCAAATTTATTTTCATCTATAAAACACTTTATATTAGAAAACAGGTTCGTGACCTCCTCTCTGGGGGACAGACAACCGAAAAGTGGGTGAAGAGAGACGTCGGACAGGGCAAGATATGACAAAATAACAATTTATAAATTATCAAGGGCTCATGAGGGTCGGGGAAGCGGGGAGGGAGGGGAAAAATGAGGACCTAATGTCGGGGGGTTTTAATGGTGAGAAAATGTGAGGGCAATGAATGTACAAATGCGCTGTACACAATTGATGTGTGTATGGATTGTGATAAGAGTTGTATGAGCCCCTAATAAAATGATAAAAAAAAACAGGTTCGTGCTGAAAAGGTGTTTCATATTTGAAGTCATAGTCCAAAGAATTAAAGCACTCCCTCACCTGTGAAATCTGAAAAAGATGTAATCCCGTTGGTTGTGGAATGTGGCAACCTGCCGTCCAGTAAACTGAGGGTCATGAGGAAAGAGAGATGCAAACATACGCCCAATAGAATGACCTAGTCGGGTTGTAAAATTATTCAGAATGACTTCAGGTACGTGTTCTGTAGGGTCCTTGCCTCTTCTCTAGAAAAATGAAAGAAATCTCAAAAGCCAAGAAGTACACCTCGCGCTCCAATTGTCACGAATTAGAATTGACATTTGTAAAGTTTTAACAAGCTACCACAGATTGTTTATCAAGCATGAATTGATATATGCCTAAGATTGATACTATTATAAAAAGTACCAAAAAGAAACTCCTACTAGAAAACCAGTATTTTGTAGTAATGAAGGCTATCGCCTAACACCATCTAATCACAATCTCACAAGAAAAGTGTTTATAGAACTGCTTTGACCAGGGTAAGCACCATTGTATCGGATACAACATATACTGCTGTTTTAAGTGTTACTGGAGTTTTCCATCACAAAGCAAAAGGCTCTCCCTTTCAAAATACAGTTGATAGTGAAATGTTTGATAAGAAAAAGGGCTAATGCCATCAAGGAACGTTATGAAACTTACCTTAATTTCTTTACGCAGACGAACACTACTCATTTTAAAATGAGCAGTTGGACCATGTGGCAAGTGACTCAAAATAAGTCCATCTGTTTGTAAAGTTAAGAACACACTGATATGCTTTAAATCAAATCTTAAATTATCCAAAATAACCAGTTCTCTGTATGCTCCCAAACCAGTTGCTGCAAATTGCAACCCTTGTGTATCAAGGTATAACAAAGTTCCATAAAAACTTAACGGCTGATTTCCTGGATAAGGATAACCAGGGTCTTTCTTCCAAGGATGCACCTTAGTAGATTGGAACTTCCAACCTTATGGTCAGCAGCCAAGCATAGGACTTCCTTAGGCCACCTAAGGCCTCCCTGTATGCCCAATTGGTGGGTACATGCTAACCCTGAGTTAACTGAAATTTTCTTACTCTCCCACCCAAACCTAAATCTTTCCCAAAAATGTTGTTAGGTGCCATGAAATTAGCTTCAACCATACTGACGCTATGCACAACAGAATGAAACACCGTGCCATCTTTACAATTGTTTCCATGCCTGAGCCCTTCGATGCAGCCACTGTGTCAGTACATCTCGTTGAGGGTCTTCTTTTTCACTCTCCTTCCATTAAACATGATGCCCTTCTCCAAAGGCTGGTCTTTCCTGACAATATGTCCAAAGTCTGCTATCCTTGCCTCTAAGGAGCCCTCTGGTCTTACTTCTTCTAATAGATTGGTTGGTCCTTTCAGCAGTCCATGGTACTTTCAATATTCTTTTCCAGCACCACAATTCAAAGGCCTCTATCTATTCTACTAGTCTTCTTTATTCAACGTCCAACTTTCACATGCATATGATGCAATGGAGAACACCATAGCTTAGGTCAGGTACACCTTAGTCCTCAAAGTTAACATTGGTGCTCTTCAATACCTTAAAAAGGTCTTGTGCAGCAGACCAAATTTGTCCCAAAAAATAAATTAACCTCAAGTAGTTCTACTTTTTCTCTTTTTAAGAAGCGTAAAATGCTTGTTATCACCCTAACAGTATAATGTTGGGCATTCAAATAAAAAAACACAAAACACTCCACTGCCATCAGTGGATACCCACCCTATAAGACTGGGTGGAAGTGCCTCTTTGAGTTTCTAAGACTCTATCAGAGTAGAAAGTCATCATTCTTCCATGGAGCAGCTGGTGGCTTTGAACTGCTAACCATGGGGTTAGTAGACAAATGGTGGTACGGCCCCATATAAAGCAGGAAAAAAAAAAATCTCCATGTTTTGTATCAGGAATCACAAGACAGGATGAGACTCTAGAATAACTTTAGTCATGCACAGACTTTAGCATTATGTTCAGACTTATAACCCCAAAATGCACATTTTTATATGTTATGTGTGGTCTGGATCTGCAGTCACCCCTAAGTATTACCCCAGAAGACTTGAGACTCCTACCCAAGCTCTCTTCCTGAAGATTAGTGTTTCTCAAGAGACAAACTCTTCCTCTTGGGATTACTATACCACAAATTAAAAACCACCAACTAATTAATAGCTATTTACTATCTACAGAGAATTATGCTACACTAAAAATGAAATCCAACACATCTACCTACAATCAGCAGGGTTAGGAGCCCAAGGGCAATGCAGCAAATGCACATCCCTCAAGTCTTTGCACAACAATCTTACTTTTTCCTGCAAATGTTCTTTGTTGCTGTTGTCATTGCTAGGTTCCATCCAGTCTGTTCCAATGATCTGTGCCATCCTAACATCTCAAGCATAGCTTACCAATAATCAATTTTGGGCTATTGTTCAGTGCCATGACAATCAGGCAGAAATTCTAACAATGGACAATTTAAATATGTTTATAGAACATTTTACACTTACATTGTTTCACCTGATCATCGCAAGAATTGAACTTTAAATGGCATTAGTATGAAGACTGTTTAAAGTCAGTATGTGCACAATGAATTTTACAAACCCAAAGTGGTCAAAAACATCAACACCCTTCCATTCATCCACACAAACTGCTGCATTTAATTGTATCTTCAACTTGCCCCTCCTGCCAAATCCAATTGATTTTTTCCTGTATAAGGTCTTTCACTTCTACGGTCACTGTTGTACCCTCGAAACTACTGTTTTAGTTGAACTCCTTGGGCTTTGACACTATTATTCAATAAGCTGGTGGTCCAAACTCCTCTCACCACTGCCAAGTCCATCTTCTCATACAGTCTGTCAGTCAAGCCTGGATGAAGGCCTTGGTTCTATATGTAATGTGCTACATGCCACAGCTTTTCGTGTGCCAAGCGGAAGGGAAAAGCAAACTGAGGGAGCATTAGAACCTTGATAGCTGTAGCTAATTTCATACTTTCTCATGAGACTTAGCTACACAATAAAGACACTGATAAAGAATAAAGACTTCCCTATAAGACCACATGTTACTGGATGGCTGACTTTATCTCTGCATCTTTTACTGAGCATTAAACAATGCCTTGCACATATAATGCGCTCAATAAATGTTTGCTGAAAGAAGGAAAAACGAATTTATAGAATTTTGGGGGGGTGAGATAGTTTATTGTGCCAGCCTGGCCAATAAACACAAGTGGGATTAACTGAAGGGCAGAGAGACAAATGGCTTGGTAAGCTTCAACCTTCTTGTCTGTCGCTCTTTGATCATCGGACCAGTGTGCGGCTGCCTTGCTTGTTCAGTGTCTCAATTTACAGGCTATACTACCTGTGGGACGCCTAGCCTGTGAACAGTGTCGCTGTAAGTTGAGGTCCCTTTAAGACATCTCTGGAGCTGGGGACTGGTGGTTGGTGACCTCCCTTGTGATTGGCTGCTGTGTTGATATAGCCTAGCTCTCTCTATATAAAGAGGAAGACCTGGCAGTAGACTAGACTTGAAGGACTGCTAGTGCCTCACAACTCTCTCTCAGGGGACTGAGTTGCACTGAGCCATTTGTACTGCTTTATAATTTAACTGTTCATTTCCTGTATTATAGATCTATCTGTATATAATTTAACAGTTCATTTCTTGTGTTATATATCTAATTATCTTTATAAATAAATATATTAAGTTATCAGCAATTTGGTTTTATTTCTCTAGAGAACCCTGTCTAACACAGGGGGAAAGCAAAAAACCAGACCAACCAACCTGAACCACTGCCACTGAATCACTTCCCACCCAAAGTGACCCTATATAGAGTTGCATAATTTTGGGCTATAAAAATGATGTTGACTAGGGTGGAGGGAGGGTGGGGTGCAAAAGGAGAACCCATTACAAGGATCTATATATAACCTCCTCCCTGGGGGATGGACAACAGAAAAGGGGATGAAGGGAGACATTGGACAGTGTAAGATATGACAAAATAATAATAATTTATAAATTATCAAGAGTTCATGAGGGAGGAGGGAGGGGGGGCGGGGGGAGAGGGGAAAAATGAGAAGCTGATACCAAGGGCTCAAGTAGAAAGAAATGTTTTGTGAATGATGATGGCAACATATGTACAAATGTGCTTGACATAATGGAAGTAGGTATGGACTGTGTTAAGAGTTGTACGAGCCCCCAATAAAATGATTTTTTAAAAATTATGTTGACTGTTACAAGGAATATAGTCTTTACAAATTCTGCATTCTTTTAAATATATTTTAAAGGAGAAAGAAAAACTTCCTAAAAAAAACCCACAAAGGATACTTGGTGTTTTCCGGTCTTCATTAATAACAATCAGATCTGTGAACTCTCTTGAGATGCACTGAGGGATAATTTTTTTCAGAGCCAGACCTCTTCTGTAATAAACATGTGAGTTTGGAATAACCGTGGAGAGCTGTTCACCGAGTCGTACTGTTCTCTGGAACACAAAATGACAGCAATTCTCAAAGGTAAAAAGAATAATAAAATCTTAAGTGACATTATAAAGGTAGGAGTACTCGTTATTAAACAAGCGCCATCAAGGTGAATCCAGCTCCTGTAGAACCCTCGTGTAGAATCAAAGCACAATAGTGCTACAGAGGGTTTCCACAGGTGAATTTTGGGTGGTGGATCTCCAGCTCTCTCTAAGTGGACCTGAATCTTCAATCTTTATGTTAGCCAACAAGTGAATTAACCATCTGCATCACCCAGAACTCCACTGATTACTGGAAGACAGTATTAAAAGAGAACAAGGCTGGGAAAAGGATGAAGTCTAAATAGTGGTTTATCTTTTTATCAAAGGCAGATGATGCTTCAGCAGTAGTTCTCAACTAAATGCCATTTGGCCCTCCTTGACAATGTAAGGAGATATTTTGTGTGGCTGTCAATGGATGGATGCTACTAGTATTTAGTGGGTAAGATAGGGATGTTGCTGAACATTCTACGATGCATACGACAGTCTCCCACAACGAAGAGTTATCCAGGGAGAAATGTAATAATACTGTGGTTGAGAAAGTTTATCATGAAGAATTATGCTTAGTGAATCTACAACACAATTCTAGAAGTAACATTATTCAACTTACTCATAAGCATTAGCTAAAATAACTAAGTAATGATCCAACTTTTCTGGACAGAGTTTTCAAGACAAAATAATATAGCAAATTAATAAACTATTAATCAAAATGTTTACCCCATGAGGTCTGTCTGATGTGGTAATAAGAATCTTGGGAGAAGTTTGTCTATTGAAATAGGAAGCAAATTCATCTGTAGCTTCATCGTAAGCAACCTGAGGAAAAATAAAGTAACACTGAACAAATAAACAATATACTGAGCAAAAATGTTAAGAGGTTCAGTAAGACTCTTTGTCACTGACTGCCTAGCTAGTGGAGCATTTAAAGAAGGCCCAGGAGGGAAAACCATTAAAGGTGACACTAAGAGGTTGGGTGACTTCCCCTCTGCAAAAACAAGCATAGATATGGACCAAATATTCTCCATATTAGGACATATACGACGACAGAGTCCTGGTGGCACAGCAGCTTAAGCACTGAGCTGCTGACAGGTCAGCAGTTTGAACCCACCAGCCACTCCATGGGAAAAGAAGCTGTCTGCTCCAATCAAGGTTTACAGCCTTGGAAAATCTCCTGAGCGGTTCCACTCCGTCTTCCAGGGTTCACTCTGAGTCAGAATAGGCTGGATAGCAGTGGAGTTGGGTTTTTTTTTGGTTTGCACATATATTAACTTTTGACCCAACAATTTCAACTTCTGACCACTCACTTTTAGTAATTTGCCTTGAAGATACAGCTCCCATAATATGAAAATATCACACATAAAGTTAGATATCGTGGCATTATTAGTTTAGTACACTGATGATCTCAAGTCCCTAAGACAGATGTCAATACATCACAGGCGCTCATTGCTGGAAGACTAACTGACTAAATGAATGAATAAATGGCAATGTCAGCAGATGCATGAAAGGCAGCGGACAATTTTCTGAAAGTAGACACAAAAACAAAATTAAGAGGTAGAAATCTAATTATCTAATAATTAGCAAATCAATAAATATTGGTATGCTTGTAAAATGAAGTAGTACAAACCCAAGTTTCCTCAACAAAAATTTTAAAAACTTAACAAGTTTAAAAATCTTGAATACTTCACGGCACTGTCAAAGTACACAAAGTGTAACATTATCTTGAAATGTAAGCATTTTTGAGGAAATAACAAACTCCCACATCAAATGTTATTAAATATCAGAGTATAACAAATACTACCTAAAATCTCTAATATGTGCGATGCAGTGAACTAGTTAATATGGGCCTTCTAGCCATATCCATTCTATGATATATTGCAAGTCCTAGCCTCTACACCTCTGGTTATAGTCCCATTTTAGAGTTCTATGTTATTTTAATGAGGCAGGATTAAAGTGCAATGTATTGTGAGTTTGCCTTATTAGAGTATAACTCAAGTAATCACCTTTAGTTTCCTTGGGGGAGGACAGTGTTCTGCCAATTAATCATCATCCTTGACATTTGTGTTAAACAAGAATTGATTTCCTGTTCTAATCTGTTCCCTTATTAGGCAAACTTCCAGCTTCCTCCTTCATTAAGAAAAGCAGGCGGCGGTGTCACAGAAATTGAGACAGATCTGACCGGTTTAACATGCACAGTAGAGACCCAACTATCCTTAACCTGACCTCACTTCAACAGGAGGAAAACACATGTTCGTAATGCCTTAGAAATGAGGAAAATGCCATCTCTGTGACCCTCTCTCCTCTCAACTAGGATGTGTAGAAAGCTTGTGCTTGTGCTGAATCATGGTGAAAAATGCCAATCAGATGCCAGTTCTACCCTAGAAGACTCTAATAACAGCCATCCTGGTGACACAAGTGCTTTGATCAGTCACAAACTTACTTGACTTTCAGCCATTTTTATCTCTACAGCCACCCTGAGCACGACCTAGGAGGTTGTGGAAACACTGGCAAAACACATTCTCTTGCTCTGGATCCTGAAACTGGATCAGCTCCATCTGACCTCCAGCTCTGGGGACTTGAGCCAGTGGTCTATTGTGTGACCCAATTATCAGCTTCCACAACAAGGTGAGCCATTTCTTTGATTTGTGAGCTCTGTGAAGCAATGCAGCAAAGTACAGAACCCTAAGGCATAAGCTAGAACACTAAGGGTCACATAGTAGTTGATATCAGAAACAATGGGAGTGATGCAGCATTTTGGAAAGGACGGACATTTGGGATATCTTAACCTCTATCCCAAATGGACATGACAAGGGGCAAAATGGCTGCGCAAAACCGCTTGAAAGTGTTCAAGGGCATGGATGTCACTTTGAAGACTAAGGTACGCATAACTCATTCCACGGTATGTTTAATAGGCTCATATGCATGTGAAAATTGGATAATGAATAAGGAAGACTGGAGACGAACTGATGCATCTGAAGTATGGTGCTGTCTGAAATTACCCAAGAGCTGCCGTAAGAATGAATAAACCAGTCTGGAGGAAGGCAGTACAGCCAAAATGCTCTTTAGAGGTCAGGATGGTGAAACTTGGTCTCACACCCTTTGGACCTGTGATGATGAGCCCCGTCCCTGGGAAAAGATAGCCTGGTAAGGCGGAGGTTCAGAGAGAGCACGGGGCAGCCTCGTGAGCAGGACCGACTCGGGGACTGCGACAACAGGCTCACACCTCCCCACTCTGAGTCTTGCGCAGGCTCGGGCAGTGCCTCATCGTGGTGTACGCAGGGTCACAGCTGACTGGAGAAACTGACAACAAAAACAGCAACCTACCTTGTGTTGATCCTTCTAAAAGAAATCATTCTTGAAAGATGAGAAATGCTTTTCAAATGATGTAAAATACCTTAACTAGAAGTAATATTCAGAGATTCAATGACATAAATACAAGCTATCTAAGAATTCAGGTGGCACAATGGTTACACACCGGGCTGTGATCAGAAAGGTCAGCAGTTTGGTAACACCAGCCACTCCTTGGGAAACAGGGCTTTCTATTCCCATAAAGAGTTAGTATCAGAAACTCACAGAGCCCTGTCCTATAGGGTCACTATGAGTTAGCATCAACTCGATGGCCGTGAGCGTGGCATATTACAATCAATATCTGGAAAAGAAATGATTTTTACATTTTTCTATATTATTGACAAATACAACTCAGAAGTAATACACAGTAAATAATATGCCAACATCATATTGAAACCACTCCATTATACAATTTTACCAGCACTTAAAACAGTAATCAAGCGAGGCTATCCAAATATATTTGAGACTTCCAATATTACCTCTTCATCATTAGGGTCTACTATGGTTTCATCATATACTCGCTGGTTGTCAATGGTCTTAGGTACAGGTTTTGGTGGAGCCTAAACAAAAGAAAAGGTATTAAATTTTAGCAGAATTAATACTTTTACATTACTGTTGGAGAAAAATAACAAATTTACAAATACTAAAAAATTCACTCTATTCCTTATTTTGTTCAACTCCCTGATACAACAATACTAAAGACACTAAATGAAAAGCTTTTTAACTCACCAAGCAGAGAATCACATTAAAAGAATTGTTTACATTGAAACAAATAGAAGTAGCAAAAAGAGGTAGGGATAAAAATAACCTTCCACCTAATTCAGGAAGGATAAACCCCTCAGGAACAGTAATGGGAGTAGCAATAATATCATGAGGGCAGGGCGATGGTCAGGGAGGGGGAAGAATTATAAAGTGGAACCCATCACAAAGTTGGATATATCCCCACCCCCCATCCTAAGGGGGCAGATAACTGAAATGTGGATGAAGAGAGACAAGGGACAGTGTAAGATATAAAAAACAATAAAAATATATAATTGATCAAGGACACATGAGGGTGGGATGGAGGGGTGGGGGGGAGAAGAGCTTATACCAAGGGCTTAAGCAGAAAATGTTTCGGAAATGACAATGGCAACATATATACAAATATGCTTGATACAACTGAAGTATAGAGTGTTGTAAGAGCTGTAAGAGCCCTCAATAAAATGACTTAAAAAAATAATAATAATCTTCCAAGGAGATAAATATAAAAGGGTAAGAAAAAAATAAGGAAAAACTACAAAGTACACACAAAGGGGCTTCAAAAACTCATGTAAAAATTTCATTATTTTTCTGTCTCAATTTTCCATGGTAATTTTAAAGTAAAGGCCCCTAATATATGTCTGTGGCTTTGATCCAATTCTTCCAGAATGCCATTCAGAAACAAATCAAAATAGCTACAAATTAGCTTCTAGTCATTATAGTCTGGGATATTTATGGTAAGGTGAGAAAGCGAAAAGAAAGGAATTTATACAAAAAAATATGTATATCACTATTCAAAATGGAAATAAAAAGCTAATAATGTCAATGTCCAACAGGGTAATGACTAAGCAATACGGCATTTCAATGTGATAGCATATACTATTAGAATCGAGAAACATGGACATACTGTACAAAGATAAAGGAATTATATGTTAAGTGAGAGCAATAACATAGAAGTATAGCTATCTCTACAACTAAATAAAAATACACATAATAGCAGAGATATTTTTTAAAGCATATGAAATATTAGGACTCTATTTTTTAATACTCTAACACAGATTACTTTATACACAATTTTTTTTAAAGGGGTCAGTCTTAGAAAGTCACCTCTGGTTTAAAAAAAAAAGAGAAGACTATTTTCAAATGCTGATCAGACTAATAATTGAAAGTTAAAGACTAAAGTGTTTGCTGTATTAAATTTTGCAAGTCAAAACAGTCTAATAGTGATAATTTCATATTAAGAAAATGGATGAGTGCTTCATTTGCACAGTCATTTAAAATGCGTTCCATTCTTCAAAGATGTTTATCTTTACTTAGTATTTCTTAGGCTATGAGAGGAATAATTACAATAGTATGTTTTAATACAAGGAGGTACCCTCCAGAAAAACCGGGGGAAAAGCTCTGCTAGGCGGAGCTTTCGTACTATGCATTTTCCCTGCCAGGCAAGCAAGGAGCATGGAGCAACTCGCTGTGAGTCAGCACACTCAGGGGCACTGCCTGCAAGATTCTCTCTGGTCACAGTGAATTTTTCCTAAAAGCAGTTTCACTTGAACCTCATTGTTTTTTTTTCTTTTGATAGCTGATTTAAGAGAACAGTGTGTGGCTGTGAAATTTGGTTTCCCATTCGGGAAATATGTCCCAGAAACTGTTGTTGTGATGTTGAACAGCTTACAAGGACAGTGCTATGGGAAAAACTCAAGAATACGAGTGGTTTTCTAGCTTCAAAAAAGGAAAATGTCAATTGGTGACAAACCTCGTTCTGGATGTCTGCCAACTTCCCAAGTGGATGAAAATGTCGACAAAATTCAAGCACGTTGTGCTCAAAGACTGACCACGGACCACTGAAGAGATGGGGAAGCTCTCTGGACTATCTGGAGCTTGGTCAGTGAACTTTAATGGAAGGTTTGGGGATGAGAAGGGCCTCTGCGAAATCGGTGCCTCAGGTTCTGACCGACCAGGAAAAGAACGTCGAGTGGAAGCATGCCGAACAACTCCAAAGTGACCCAGACTTTTTCCCCCCAAGGTCATTACTGGTGATGAGATATGGTGCTACTCTTACCACCCTGAAAGCAAACATCAATCAAACCCGTGGAAGACGCCATCATCACTTCGGCCCCCAAAAGCTTGTCAAGTGAAATCAAAGATCAAGGCGGTGCTCACTTGTTTTTTTGATGTGGGGGGATAGTGCATTTGGAGTTCATTCCACGAGGTCAGAACGCTTAATCTAGCTTTCTATTAACAGGTTCCGAAAAGGTTGCTTAACAGTGTGAACAAAGAAAGTCTGATTTGTGGCAGACAGGGGACTGCCACATGACAATGCACCTGCTCACACAGCCATTTCAGTGCACCAGTTTTTGGCAAAAAACAGCATGCCTCTATTGCCCCTTACACCTTACTTGAACTCCCTCCATGTAACCTCTTTTTGTTTCATGCAAAGGGACATGAAAGGACAGCCATTAGACAACACAGAAGAGTTGAAAAAAAACAAACAAGGGAGATGCTGTCAGCTATCTAAACAGATGAGTTTGAAAAATGTTTCCAAGAATAGAATTGCAGATTTGACAAATGCATTAAGTGTAATGGAGAGTCTTTTGAAGGTGATAAGGTTGTTTTGCAAAAACATTTAAATACACATAGCTTTGGGGGGAAATCTTCCATTGTGCGGGGGAGTCTCCCCACCCCCATAGCTTAAGTACAAACCAGAACCTACGAGTAGCTATAAATAAAATTTAACTCCCCCCAAAATAGCCTCCAGACTATAAGGAGCAGCTCCCGGAATTCCCCCAGGAGGGAGATAGTCATATAAAGTAAGGTGACCAGACGTCCCGATTTTTAACAATTTTTCCCGTGTCCCGCGATGTTTTTAAAAAGTCCCGATTTTTGGAAAGAATGCACAACAAGCTATGGTATACAGTTGTCGGCTGCCATGTGGCTAGTTCGCCAGGATATGAGTTTTATCCATGGTGTCCCGCTTTACCAATGTTAAAATCTGGTCACCTTACCATAAAGGTCAGTGGACAGACCTGGAATTATGTGTTTTTCTTTCTTTTTTTTAATCTTTGGTTTGGTCTATGCCATTGTTGGTTTGCCTACTTACATACGACAGAATTGGGAAGAAAGCTCAAGGAGAAAACAAAGGGACCCACTCTGGGACTTGGGGGAAGACGGGGGTGAAGCACACACCACAGACAGGGGAACTAATAATCAACAAGGAGGATATAGAGATCCTGGGGGTGTTGGAGCAACAGCAATCTAGCTTAGAGGAATGACTATGAGGCAGAAGTAGGGCGAGTGTGATGGTGGGGCAGAAGGTAAAAGGAAACAGGAATGATCTAGGAAGCAAAGCTATGGATAGAGGTATAAGCATAGGTGTGTCCATATATAAATATATTAACCATAAAAATAGAGGTACTGGCCTATGTACATATATTTATATGGCAATACACTGAGGTAGTGGATGAACTTCGAGCCTCTGTTCATGCCCTTCCTCAATACAAGAATGCTGTATTCTAACAAACTGTCATTCTGTGATGCTCACCCTCCCAGGCACAATCATTGAAGACAAAATGGGTGCATAAACAAATGTAGTGAAAAAGTGGATGGTGCCCGGCTACTAAAAGATATAGCATCTGGGGTCTTAAAGGTTTGAAGTGAAACAAGCAGCCATCCAGCAGAGAAACAAGCCCACACGGAAGTAGCACATCAGCCTGTGCAATCATGAGGTATCATCGGGACCAGAAGACCCATAACTAACAAACAAAAAAAACCATGAAAAAAACATATTGTTGAGAACAAGGGGGGTCGGAGCAGAGACCCAAAGCCCATCTGTAGATAATGTTACATCTCCCCACAGAGGGGTCACAGGGGAGGGATGAGTCAACCAGGACGCAGTAAAGCACCGATGAAACACTCAATATTCCTCTGGTTCCTTGAGGCTTCCTCACCCATTATCACAACTCCAGTGCTGCTTCTCACTTCGGACTAGACTGGAGCATGTACACAGGTACAGATAAGAGGTAAGAGCTCATGACACATGGAATCCAGAAACAGGAATGGGAACAGTGATGGGGGGCGGGGGGACTGATTTTAATGATGGACACATAACCATACACTTACCTCCAAGGGGGAGAACACCCAGAAACCATGGGGGAAGGGAGACAGCAGTCAGTATGATATATGCAAATAATACTAACTTATAATCGATCAAGGGCTCATGAGTATGGGAGAGGGAGTAGGAAAAAAGAAGAGCTGATGCCAAGGGCTCAATAGAAAGTAATTGTCTAGAAAAGAATGATGGCAGTATATGTACAAATATGCCTGATACAATTGATATATGGATTGTAATAAGTTTTAAGAGCTCCCAATAAAATCTTTTTTTCTTTATACTTTTTTTTAAAAAACATTTTATTAGGGGCTCATACAACTGTTATCGCAATCCATACACACATCAATTGTGTAAAGCGCATTTGTACATCATTCTCAAAACATTT